TAATCAATGTAATGAAACAAGCTATATGAATGGTTGAATGTGAAGCTGATGATGTGCCCTGTAAACTTTCACTCAATCCAAAATAAAAACATTTAATAATAATAAAAAAAAAAGTTAAGTGGAACACTAATAGAGTGCCTGGAAGATGAAGACCTCAGGTTGGAAGACATTCAAAATATGGCTGGGAAAGAGCTGCTTCCTCAAAATAAAGGTGACCTTAATGATGTGAATGGAACATAGCTTTTGGTACCTTCATTTGCTGATGCGGCATGACTCAAAATGAAAAGGAGCAGCTGTAATTATCCATTAATAGTTAGAATGTGGAATGCATGAAGTATAAATCTACAAAATCTGAAAGTCGTCAAAAATGAAATGGAACATGTAAAGATTGATATCCTAGGCATTAGTGAGTTCAGATGGACTGGTATTAGCCATTTTGAATCCAATAATCATATGATCTACTACGTTGGGAATGACAAATTGAAGAGGAATGGTCCCAGTGGATATGGATTCACTGCCAAAAAGAACATTTCAAGAGTTTTCCTGAAGTACAATGTTATCAGCAATAGGGTAATATCTGTACACCTAGAAGGAAGACCAGTTAATACGACTATTATTCAAGTACATACACTAATCACTAAAGTCAAAGATGAAGAAATTGAAGATTTTTATAACTTCTGCAGTGTGAAATTGAACAAACATACAGGATTTGAATATGAAAACTGGAAACAAAGAAGGATCAGTAGAATATGTACGATCTGAATGTGAAAGTTGGAAACAGAGAAGGAGGAGCAGTAATTGGATGCTCTTTGTGATAGAAGTGATGCCAGAATTTGCATGATTTTTATAAGACCAAGAATTTATTCATTGCAAATATATTTTTTCAACAATATAAACAGTGACTATACACATGAGCCTCAGTGAACGGAATATACAGGAGTCAAGTCTACTATATCTGTGGAAAGAGGTACTCAGTACCCTCAGTTGAATAAGGTCAGGAACCCACTGTGGAACAGACAATCAAT